TCAGATGTTCACCCTAATTTTCACCAATTATCTTTTTTGTCTTCATTTCCCAGGACACTTTCCTCATTACACTATAAAATATGAAATGTTACATAATTTAATTATTGAACAAACCTAGATACCAAGTTTAGCAAGGAAGCAAGAATTTATGATTGAAGTAAAGTAGGTAGATAATTAGATGTTTTTTTGAGAACATACCAGGTCTCTTGGTTCTGATGCATGATTATTATCAATTCAATCTGCTTTCAATTTTCGATCCACATCAGTCTTGCATTTTGAATGGCCTAGAGATTGGTGACTCATTTGCTGCTATGGGACCCAAGATGGGAGATTTTTATCTTTCTATTTTCAGATTGTTTTTGAGGTAGTTTACTTCTGCACAAAATGATTGGTACAGAGGCCCAAAGTAGCAACAGTGAAGAAAGACATCCACTGGATGTCTATAGTAAACCAGGGGTCAAAGCTATTGAATCGACCTGGGAGCAGGGGGCCAAGAGAGCATAGGCTTTAATTACACACTCTTGGGGAATCCTGGAATACAGGTTGCTCTGAATAGATGTTTTGAGTCGTCACTTCTTGTGACTTGAGTACTACAACTCTTACAGGTAGTTTTCTGGAATTTGAATTTGTTTTAAACCTTTGTTGTCAGGATAGGGAAATCAGAATCACAGATTTATTCAGCTTCTTTCGTTCATCAAAGGTTACAGGCATTAATTTAATAAAGCATAATCTATTATACAATCAGGTTGATGTTATGATGTTATTAAATTGACCTTCACACCGAAAATTATGACATTCGAGCATATGCGAGTACAATAGCCAAGCGTGTCTAGTACGTTAGGTGTAAGTGCAGGCGCAAGCAAAGCAGGGACAATGAACCACCGAATACGACCGGGAAAGCGAGGGTCTATTCAGGGAAGTGAGTTCGGTATCGTCAGGAATGACCACAGGAATGAAATCGTTTAGTTAAATCATTAACGCGGATCAGACTGGTGAAAAGTACTCCTTCAGAGTGTAGCTCTAACTCTGGCTCATAGCAGTATTCGGAAGCCGTCTGCAGGTTGACTTGCGAATCCTACTTTTCTCAAACAAAGGAGACGGGCCCTGGATCCACACAGGCGGGCTTCCAATCTCGAAACAATCGGAGTAGGGTGTCCCTAAGCTCGTTGCGAGATCCACCCAAAGGTTCAGCCGCAGAGCAAAACTTAGGAGACACTACTATTTTCAGAACAGTATCTATGTTACTTATGAACTCTGAACTTTTGAACGTGGAGTATTCTTCACCAGACAAGGTTTTAATCTACTCAGGCGATAGTTTACTAGATACAAAACTCACTTAGGACAGGGTGTTCACTGATGAACTATAAGCAATAATTGTACGCAAACCAATTTGAAATAGGCACTTGGATGAAACAGGAGTACTGCTGGCTGCGAAACACTCGACACTGCTACTGGCGCGACCACGAAGTCTCGGATATCGGCACGGGAGACGCAAATCGAAACACTCGATGAATTTTTCGGAAAATAATAAAGGACCTAGGTTATGATTGCTAAATTGTAGCAAAAGGCATAAACAGGAAAACTATATGCTGGAATTGAATTGACTGGAATGTGAAAAGTGACTGGAATCTGAACTGGAAAGCAAAGCAATCTGGAATAACTAACCGGAAAAATAACTGAAAAAGTAACTGGAATAATCAACTGGAAAACTATCTGGGATTGTGAACTGGAAAAATAGCGCAAGCACAGGAACACTGTGCATAATATCATACATGAGACTTGCCAGTGTCTGTGGGATATTCTTAGTCCGGAATACTTGAAAACTCCAGAGTCTGAAGAAGATTGGTTGGACATTTCCAAAGGATTTTATGAAAAATGGAATTTTCCTCATTGTTTAGGAAGTATTGACGGAAAACATATAAATATTCAAGCTCCGGCTAAAAGTGGCTCCTTGTTTTTCAACTATAAAAAGAATTTTAGTATTGTTTTATTAGCCTCATGTGACTATAAATATAAATTTTCCTGTGTTGACATTGGTGCATATGGTTCGCAGAGTGATGGTGGAGTTTTCAGAAATAGTGCGTTTGGTCAGAGAATGGAATCTTCAAACTTGAACATACCTGCAGAAAAACAGTTACCAGGAACAAACACCGTCACACCTTTCTGTTTTGTTGCAGATGAAGCATTCCCATTAAAAAAATATATAATGAGACCTTATCCTGGGAAAAATTTAACGAATCGGCAAAGGATTTTCAATTATAGACTTTCCAGGGCCAGGCAAGTCATTGAAAATACTTTTGGTATACTTGTGGCTCGATGGAGAATTTTGAAAACTACAATCAATGCCAAAGTTGAAAATATTGACAACATTGTTAAGGCAGTTGTTGTTCTGCATAATTACTGCCAAACTGAACTTTCAGAGTCTGAAGGCACTGACATATATTGTCCACCAAGTTATGTGGATACAGATGGTGAGGAAAATGGAGGGTGGAGGGCAGAACAAGAACCTTTATCATCTGTTGGTAGATTAGGTTCGAATGTGTCTAAACGTTACATTTATGCAATCAGAGACACATTTGCAGATTATTTTATGTCGGATAAAGGTAGAGTTGCATGGCAAGACAAGATGTTATTTGCAGAATAAATAAACATTTTTAAGACCATGCAGAACTTTTTATAAGGTGTCACCACCATTTGCATTTTCTAGAGACTTACCCCAAAATAAATACCAAAAACAGCAAAATGGTGTTGTCAAGGTAACGGCAGCCAATGTGTCTGGAGAGCTGGGACGTGGGTTGGTCAGATGTTCATCAAACAGTTTTTTTTTATTTTGAAAGGGGCGCCACTTTAGTCAAATGTAGTTTAATTTCTAAGCTTCATAGTGAATTAGTGAACAGGCATGTAAATCTTCCCAATTCTTGGAGAGAATATATGCAGTATAGTTAAGTTAAACAACAGCTAATGATTTAAAAGCCTACTGAGACACTGGTTACCGCGTGCAGCTGCATGGGGTTTACAGGGACCATCATGTATCACTACTGTTTGTGATTATTTTATACATATACCTCATACTATACTTTATATAGGTACCAAAATCAAAATCCCACTATGTATATACCATAAACATGGTTGAAATACCCTAATCAATTAACCTTGATTGCACATGATACTTGTGTATGAAAAATTAAGTTTAGTGATAAGACACAAATATTGGTGAAAATAAATCATTTAAACTCATGAACATAAATCATATTTGGATCGAGCTCACCAAGAACTTGAATATAGGCCCCATATCTCCTCCCTTGGAACTCCAGGAACGTCTCACTGGAAGTCAGGACTGGGTGACCTCAACCGTCCCAGCGAAGCCTGCCTTGAATAAAAAAAAAAAAAAAAAGGGGCACTTTCATCAAATGGGGGCTTGATTGCAGTGGGGAAATTGAACCCAAGGAACCCCTTGGAATTAGGAGGCTCTTCAAAGCTGACGAGCACGAGGCCGTCAGAAACCAGGCTGAAGATCAGCAGGTGGTCATCAGAAAGGGCGTCTTCTTCAATGGTACTATAATCCAGAACGTCCCTGTTGCAGGCCAAAAATATGCCACAAGTGGTTCAAAAAACTCACCTTCCACGGAGGATCGGCTTCGCACAACCAAATGAAAATTAAGTGGCGACTTATCGCCTCGCCAGGCAAAATCGAAAAAGAGCTTTTCCTGCCCATGATGGCGTCGTTGAGACCAAGACGGAAAAGGACAATCCCTTCCTGAAAAATTATATTTGTCAAGAACAAAATCGAAGCATAGGAAAACCTATTCGAAAAAAACAGTCAACGCCAACTATGCCTTCTGCGCAACAACACCGCTCATGCGTGAGCATGAGTTAAGTTCTGACCCAATCACAGGCTATGGAGTCTTTCTACCTCTAGCCATTGAGAAAATTGGATTCACCCCACGTGGTTTGGTGACACTTGACATATGACACATGCCTTTTTAATGACATGACTTTCCACTTAGTATTCACTTCGACCTGACTTTAAGGCTGATTCTTAAGTGCAAACGAACAACCCTAAAATGAAGTAAGAAACAAATCTGACGTGACTTGTGACCTATGACATTGACATGAAACAATTTGATATTTGACTTTGGACAAATTGTAATTTATCATGTTGACAGCCAATGAAAATAAATAAACAAATTCGAATTTGAAAATAACTTTCCAAAGAAGCGAATTTGGGGAAAAATAAAGAAAGTCCTAACACCTGTAAGACTCACTTGGTAAGTACAATGCTTGTTGAAGCTCAAATACTTTCTTTATGATTTCACCTAATCTTTTGTTTTTCTTTTCAGATTGTTCCTGGAGTTCAAGGATTGCTTGGAGATGATCACCTCAGTCTGAAGAATACAGGGACTGACTTCAGGTAAGTTATGACTGTGACTTTGTGTAAAAATCTACATGTTCAATTCAATTTTAGGCATCAATATTCCCAAAAACATAAGCAGTGAGCCAACCGACCCAACAGGCACAAAAACAGGATGAAAAACCCAAAATTGTCATGTAATGATATTCACTTCTTGTAAGTTCCTGTAATAAAATGTGAACTAAATGCTTAGCTTTTTACTTTGGATGATACTTGACTCAAGTCTGAGCACAAAAAGAGGAAACTGTACCATTCTGATAATTGAGTTTGGATAAAGGTAAATTTTCATGTTACAAAGGAATAACTTTTTTCGTAAAATCAATAATAAAAAAGTTTTCCATATGGTGAGAACTTAAGCAGACTAACTGTATTTACAATACTTTTATTTTTAAAAGCTAGATCTATTGTCGCGAGTCTGGGTGAATGTATAGTTTTACTTTTTTAAATTACATTTTTCTTGATTTATTTACCTGTATCAATAATAAATACTTTGATCATGTTTATTTTTGGAGATTGAAATTAAATGTACTTTGATCATGTTCATTTTTGGAGGTTGAAAATATTAATAAATTAAAAATCTTAAAAAAGGTTTTGATTTTTTATTCATCATTGAATAATAGCAATAATATTTGTTTTCGCTTTTGCAGAGCTTCTTCGGCTGGCATCCTCTCTAACTCTTCATACAAGTACTGCACAAACGTGCTGTTTGCGTTACTGGGAACGGCCTGCCTATTTCCAAAAACATTAGTGATTGACTTAGCCATTCCCAGAATTTCGTCCAGTTTTTCCTCCTTGTTAATTTTTTTTTTGCGTCCTTGTACTCCTGTGGTAGAAAATATTTCGATAAGCCAACTTACACATACTATTTACTTATATATATTACCAATAGGTGTGGTGGGCGTCCTACCAGTCGGCAGCTTCCTTTTGATGCCACTAGGATCGGCCACTGGTTGTTCTTCCTGCTCAGTGAAATTTCCAGGACTGGTTGCCTCTTCCAGGGGGCTTTCCGTTCTACTTTCTGGAGACGTTACACTCTCCATCGTAACTGTGCTCCACACAGAGGCTGACGATGATGGTCTACTAATAGGGTTTTTTTTAGTGGCAGTAAATGTCCTATAATGCATAACACCAAAATTATTAATATGCATATATAATACGAAATGTGGAAAAGTCAATTAAACAGTGAATACTAACTTTCTTTTCTTTGTAAATTTGTTATAAAACAGCATGGCATCAAAATGCACCCAATTGCTGATAGGTGCACCAGCACCCGAGGGAAATTTTTTCTTTTCTTTGACGAAGCGGTCCCTGAGGTGCTTCCAAAGTTTCATGCACTCTTCAACTAAAACAGACAATATTTGAAATATTTTCAGATAAAGCATTGAAATAAACAATTTAGGTACTCAGATATTTTTCTCACCACTAGAGTTTAGCACCCTGCTAATATGCTGCCAAGCCTGGTATTTTTTCTTGGAGTCCTTGTATGATTTGTTGGACAAATCATACAGGTACTCAAATTGTTGAATTGCCTCTATCAAGAGGCCTGGGTCCAGAGTACCTTCCTGTTCACTGGGTATTTCTGTAAATATATATATATATATATACATATATAAAACATAAAATACGGACGACAAAACTGAGAAAACTACTAACCCGATTGGCTCTGGGTAGCCTCCGCCGCCTCCAGTTCACAAAAATCTTCAAGGATGTAATCGTGATCCGGATCAGACATCTGTAGAAGATAGAACAAATAAATGAACTGAAAAACTGAAATATTTACCTATCTACCCACCTGCAAGCGTTTCTATACTTCTATTAATGAAAAAAAAAATTTATAAAACTATCCACACTTCTATCTCTGTCACAACAAAACAAACTAAACTCCTATTCAACTATTTCAACTCAAACAACAAAAAACAAACACAAACCCAAAATTCAAATGAGCCAAATTCTGCCAAATCCAAATGTCAATACATGGCATTTGACATATGACGTAAGCCAAGTGACAGCTAAAAATCGCTTTGATTGGCTCTTCAGACTTGCTACGAACGATGCTACGAACGGCCGACGGCGAAACTTGAAGTTCATTCAAGTCGAACGGCAGCCCAACGGCGAACGGCAGCGCCGACGGTAGATATAAATGGTCTTACGGGTTTCTGTACTTTTAATTGGGAACGTCAGCGCGAACGCCAACGACAACGGCGAACGGAAAGTTTATAAATCCAGCTTTACTGCTGGACTAACTCACTCTGGACTAACTGACTGCTCGCTACGATGGACCGAGTATTTATGTCCTGCCTAGACCTTGACGCAAATTGAGCAAGGCCAACAGCTATCCTTGCTCCTGATTGGCCAGTTTCGGCTGACTTCGTGAAAATGCCGGTAACAACCGTGAAAGCCGAAGTTTTCCTTGGAAAAAGAAAAACGCGGAAATGATATTTTCTTGGCCAAAAGGGCCCAGGCACCTGATCAACCTTCTTTGCTGAAGCTACTGAATCAATATTCATATCCTACCAGCAGAGATATTAAAGTTATTGCTAGGTGAATATTTGCATCTTCAAGGTCAAGGCCGAACATGTAGAAATTATGAATTTTCAGGAAATCTTACATTCAGGGGCTTTCAAAAGTTGCAGGAAATCCTCTCGCATCTCCAAGACAGGATTACATTTTACTCTATTCATCAAGATTGCTTTCCAAACATAATAGAGGCTACCAGAGAACTTCCCGTACTTGTAGATCAAAGAGTCAATTTCTGGAGCTAGGACAGGGCTATAATGAAACGAAAGATATCCCTAGTAGTTGGTATACGAGACTGATATCTTTCAGAATAGATTTTTCATGAGGAAGTGTGTAACGAACTGCATATTTTCAATATCAGCTAGATGTCGAGTAGAAGGTTAGTATCTGAAATATAATCAATTATGAGACCCCTGTATCTTGGGTGATAACTGATTTCACTGGAATAATAGCTCGGAATTCATTACACAATATTATGTTTGTATTGAAAACATGTTGTTTCCAAACTCTGTATTGTAGGTACCATCAAATGTAAGTTTTGATTCACTTTATCCAAAATGAAAGTTTTCAATTACAGGAAACACTGAATTCATCAGTTCAAGTAGGACGGTAGAAAACTCTTTTCCTAGGTACCTGTTATGAAGTATCTGATATTTTCTTATCAAAGTTCCCATTTTCTTCTTGCTAGGTGGTTTATCTGTGGGTGATATGATTATTATCTGTGGGTATTGCACAGATTTTCTCATATTAGGAATGTGAAAACACTAAAGGGTGACTTTACAAAAAATGTTAGCATTTATCATTTAACATTTTACACTTTAAGGTTTGAGACATAATAGTGACTTCTGTTATAAAAAACTCTACATTTAAGATTCTTAAAAAGCTCTGTCATAACTGACATGATTTTTGACACAAAACTCACAGAAGATTCTGAATCTGAAGTATTTTTGAATTTTGATGTCTCATTTCTAGTAGGAACGTATATTTGTTTACAAGGTTTCTTTGTTATTATTTTTCTTTTTAAAATTTATCATGATGGATAGAACAAGTGGAAAAATTCAAACACCTGTATGACAAAAAGAGTAATTTATTCAAAAATAAATTGGCCAGAGAAAAAGCCTGGAAATCTATTGGGCATATCTTGGAAACAGAAGGTGAGATTATTTTCATATTCTATACATCCCTGATTCATTATATGGTCTCTTAGCTGAAAATTGTGAGCAGAGATGGAATGTTCTGAGAAATAAATATGCAGCTCTGAAGAGACAATTATCATCAAAACCCTCTGGTTCACAATCATATACCATATCTTGGCCCTACTTTGATTCAATGAAGTTTCTGGATCCATATACCCTAACCAGAGCCAGAAGGTGATATATTCTGAAATGTTTTCAATACATATTATCCTCTATATATATTTATTTTTCATTCTTAAGGGTATCTTCACTGAATCAAAATAGAGTTCTATGCAGAGTGACCAATGGCCAGGGTTGTATGAGATAATAAGCCCAGAATCTGTAGAGGAAGATTTGGATAGCTCACAGAATGAAAATGATGATGAATCGGAGAATATCATTTCAAGTATATGTTCAGTTTGAGTATACATTTATTATGCCTAATGTGGTCCCTTCAAAAAAAAAACAATCAGCAGTTATTCTTATTTTACTTAGTGAATATTTATTCAAACATTCATCTGAAAATCAGTTGGATATCCACCATAATTCGCTCTGTTCCATTGAGTTGGAATGGATCCAGCAGGAGATAAAAAGTATTGTGCTAAAAGTTCCCTATTTCTTTGTAAATTCCTGCTGGAGTTGTTTGAACCAATCCGCCGAATTCCTCTCAACCTGAATGTGTCTTGTGCCCACTGACCCTCAGTAAAGTTTCCATCAATATCGATTTCATCTTTATATCCTTGTGGACAATAGAATTGAAAACAATTTGATATAATTATGTAACACAACAGTAGCACAGACAATTTTTTTAATGAGATCTTCTTTGGCTATTATTGTTTGGCGCAAAACCCTAAATCTTTGAGAAAGAATTCTAAAAGCGCATAATATGGTGTTTCTTGCTCTGGATAATCTCAAATTGAAAATGTTTTTATATTCAGGAAGACATTTTCCTGGAAATGGCCGCATAATATTCTTATGTAATGGAAATGCCTGATCAGCACATATAAGATAGGGAAGTCTAATATCACTCCCTGGTAAAATTCCAAACTCAGGAATATTTAGTTGTTCACTGAATAATTTCTTGCCTAACAGTGAGCTCCGAAATACATTTCCATCATGGTTGGATCCTGGGCAGCCTATGTCAATGAAAATGAAATTATGTGAAGCATCACAAACGGCCATTAATACAATGCTGAATGTTTTCTTAAAAAAAAAATATTCGGTTCCTCCATGTCTAGGGTTCTGAATTTGTATATGTTTGCCATCCAGGGCACCTATACAGTTAGGCATATTCCATCTTGTCCAGAATTCTTGTGAAATTCCCTGCCAATCGATTGTATTTGGAAACACTATGGGACATAGCACTTTCCAAAGTGCATCACATGTTTCCTCAATTATAACATGAACTGTTGTTAATCCTACATGGTTATCCCATGCAATCTGCTACATAGAACACCCCTCTGATAAATAGCTGGAATTTGAGCACAAATAGTTTGCATGGTATCAATAAAAGTGTTACATTACTGCAGAGTTATTACTAGTCGCTGCTTGACTGAAATGGGATCACCTCGTGGATCTTTTACTGAATATGGATACACTAGTTCCACCTAATCATTTAACAAATCAGGTGACATCCTGGTATATTTAAAGAATTGTTCAATATCCATAGTCTCCATTAGCCTCAAATAAAAATGGAACTGGGAATGGGTATTCCGTTGCCTGTTTATGGGTCTATTTTGTATTTTCTATTTCTACGTTTTTTTTTTCACATTAGCCGTATAGACTCCAAGGACAGAAATCATTAACAAAGTGGATACTGTAATAATGCCCATTGCATAAATCGGTCTAAAGTAGGGAAAACAAAGAGCTTATTGAACTGTGCCAAAGAATATAAACGCTATACACGAACATAAGTAAATAATGATAATAATAAGAAAATGGTCCTGATTTACATGGCAATCATGGCATCCACAATCCACTACAATACACGTTACTGGTATTTTTTCTTTAAGATCATCATATCAAAAGTTTTAACGTTTACACTGATCACAATAAATCTAACCAAAACTAAATAATATACCAGATGCCAATTTGAAATTATTTGACAGATCGTTGGTTTGCGTTTGCTGATTTCGACTTGTCTAAGAATTCCGAGTTGTAACTCAGAATTCCGAGTTGCAACTGAGAATTCCGACTTGTAACTCGAAATTCCGAGTTGTAACACGGAATTCCGACTTGTAACACGGAATTCTCAGTAACAAGCCGAAATTCCGAGTTACAAGTCGGAATTCCGAGTTACAACTCGGAATTGAAATGAACATAAGTTGATGGCCTCTCTACGCCTTCGTAGAATTCACCCAATTTTCTTTTTTACTTATGACTGACTTTGTGACTTATGACCTCAAAGACAACTGACAGGCACAGGCACAGATTTCTCAGAACAGAGAGAAATCTAACAGTTGACACATAATGTGATGCGCGAGGACTGCGAGAGGTGAATGTTATGATGACCAATCAGACCAATGCTGTCCTGCAGTTCCTTCAGAACAAGCCTACAGAATTCCCTTCTAGGACCTCCAGAATCTATCGCACCATCAGAGAAGCCAAATTCATCAGTGAACATTATGAAAGAAATCTTCTGAGGATTAAAATTTTTTCTAGCTCTGACAGCACCAACAAATGTTTCTGATTCTGTGATATTGAATGCAGTAAAAGATTCTTCTAAAATATTGCTAAAATATAAAATATCAGAGGTGTAAATGATTCTTTCAAACTATTCTGAATAGCAATATCCAAGTCATCATCTGTTTCAAAACCTGAATTGTCATTTCCTTGTTCTATAGTCACTTGAGGTAGTACATCTGGTTCTTCAACATTTTCTATTGATGGCGCTTCACACTGCCATGCATTAGGTTTGTCTGTTTTTGAAGCAGTCATTTTTCTTGTACCCCCACCGTTTACTGCACGAACCTTCTGGAAAACATCGTTTTCATAGTGGATCCAACCCATATCAATTTTTCGAGTTTGTTTCACTGATGTATTCGCATCTTTTCTTACATTTTCATTTGCTTCAATTTCACTATCAAGATATTTTTTTCTATTAAATTC